TTTATCACCTCTTCAGGTTGTAAATCGTGTTTTTAAAAAGTAACTAAGTAACTAAGTAATTAATTACTTTTGAAAATAAGTAATCAGTAAAGTAATGGGATTACTTTTTTGGGGAGGTAATCAGTAATTAGTTACTGATTACTTTTTTCAAGTAACTTGACCAACACTGCTGATAAAAGCACTGGGCTATCCAAACCATTGAATTCATCATATGGCACTGTAATGCCAAAGTATCTGTGGGCGAGATGTGCAACCCCAACGAATGTGTGTAAATTTTAGAATGTACTTGGGTGCAGAAAAACTCTATATATAACTGTGCCATAGCCTTCAATAGTTTGGGCCTTGGTGACTGCTAAAAGCATACAGATACAAGTATTCAAGTATTCAATTAGAATAATCAGTGGCAAGTCACTAAATAGACAATAGCACTGTTACAGAATAGCACTACCCCCTCGGTGGACTGGTGCTGAAAACACCTGTGATATGATTGAGCTTCACATAATTTATTAATATTTACTAAGGTGTTAGTAAAACATTATCTCAAATGAATTCCAACATGTTTCATGTGTTTAATTACATGAAACATGTTCTTATGATTTTAAACTAAATTCTGTTCTCATAATAGTAGTTCCCACAGCCTTAGCTGGGAATTTTATTACTATGACATCAACAACTCTGCTGACTAATACATATTTGAAGCTATATGGAGGTAAGCTTGTAGCATTAATTATGATGTAAAATAATCTCCCTAACTGGATGAATGTGTGCTGCCAGGACAGCTCACCTGTTAATCAGCACGTGCCAAGTCACGTGTTGCTGCACATGTTACATCAAGGTTTTGTTTGTAATTAAAAGTGACACTGAGACGGTCAGATTGGAAAGGAGGTTTGCACACCAGTGTGTATGCCAAGTGCTGCGTGCGTCACTAAACATGACACTGTTGGACAATGAAGGGAAGAGAACCAGAGGAGGAAACTGAACCTGTGATTAGCAGGAAGGACAGGAAAGTGACTGATAGCACCCAGTAACTAACTTTTAACTGAACTAGTGTAGGTTTTTCCATTTTCCTTGGAATACCTTTTTAGTTTTGTGCGCAAAGTCTTTGGGCCAAACATGAGCTGCATTCCTGCCTCACATAGGTAAGTTACAAGATTTAAATACTCTTACCTTCCACCTACCCACTTTCTAAAGGTTTGAGGATATGAATTGTGTGTTATGGTCTTTACCTTAATGATAATAGAAAATGCCTTGTGGTGACTGCAGTCTGAACTGGCAACAAATGAAGTAATTAATTATTTAATAAATGTGTGGAATAGAGCTGTGTTGAACTACACAGTGACTATACTAAATATTGCTGACCAGTATTTCAAAAGACCTAAATGAATGGCAATGCATATACAGAAACCTATTGTATGTTTATTTATATGTAATATGCCATAAAAGTCTTTATGAGTAGGTCTGGTCTTTCTGTTACAAATATATTAATTACAGCACATATATTTGAAAACTAGTAGTAGTGAAAACAAATGTTCTTGTACCCTTCCCCCCTCCATGGGGTTGAGGCATTAATCAAGCTTGTACTTAGTAATTAGCTGCAGATTAACTCAGCAGGAGAAGCTGTCTCCCTCCGTATACCTACAGTATACCATATAACACTTGACATTTTTCTCTACTGCAAAAACCCTGTAAATCATTCCTCAGTCCACTGCTTCCTGTAAACTTGAACTAAGCTGGACATTCCTAGAACCCTGTTGGAAATCTCTAGACTTTGAGAGTGTGAGGTCTCTGATAGTTAACATGCAGATTTCATCCTTACGCATTTCAGTCCAGTCTACTAATGCCCATCAGCACCTTGTATAAACACTACAGTTTCATAAATGTGTCATGTATATCTTATCTTTGATTTTTATACCTTGAGTTAGATATTCTTTCAAATCCAATTTAGAAATTTTGAACCCTATGTCGCCAAAGTGTTTCAAAAATATTTGTGACAGGATTAAAGAAATGATGGAATGTCTCACATCCAATGAGGCTACGCATGTAGGAATAAAAACCATATCTCAGAGAGGCACACTCTGGAAAGTAATTCATTTCCATTCAGTTTTATTTATAGAGTGCTAAATCACAGAAAAAGTTGCCTCAAGGTGCTTTATACTGTAAGGTAAAGACCCTACAATACTATGAAGAAAACCCCAACGACTCCCTGCTTGGTCCGCCTTTGGGCAAGGACTTGGCAACAGTGCGAAGGAAAAGCCATTTAACAGCAAGAAGTCCAGGCTCAGGAAGAGGCAGTCATCTGCCTCAAGCAGTTGGGGGTGAGGGGAGGAAGACAGGAAAACAGACACATTATGGAAGAGAACCAGAGATTATTAATAACTAATGATTAAATGCAGAGTGATGTATAAACACAAAGAGTAAACAGATGTGAGCAAAGAAGGAACACTCCAGCAGCCTAGGTTTTCTCTAACTGAGGGTTCAGGGTAACCCGATCAAGCCCTATCCACGAAGAGTGTTTCACCACTGCGGAGGCTGTGTCCTGCGCAAAATGTGAGGATGGCATTCAGATGACCAACACCAAATCTTTATCAAGTGAACGGGAACTGAGGAGATTACTAGAAGCCAAATACAGAGTGTGTTGCTAAAAGAAGTAAAACAATGGCAATCACACCCCTGGCTTACATCTTGTGTGTGTGTGTGTGTGTGTGTGTACGTGTGTGTGTGTGTGTGTAGTATGAACACCATTCTCACTCAAGTTGAATCTCAGATGGAGGAGTGTCCAGTTCAGAGGAGAGGAAGCAAAGCCTATCAGGTAGGTTTTTTATTCAGTTCAGTTTTATTTTTATAGTGCCAGTTCACAAAAACAGTTACCTTAACCTCCTAGGACTTGGCGTCTACATATGTGGACATCACATTTTAGGTTATTTAGACCAAAATACTCAATTTTGCTCTACATGGGCCTGATATCCACTTATGAGGACAATATACTGCTACTGTTCTATCAAAATTTTAAACGAATATCCTCATATGTGGCTCTCAATTTTCTTAAAAGCAAAGATGAGTAAAAATAAAATCTGGTAATTCTTTGTTTTTACATTCATCGGGCCCCAATAAGCCCAAATATCAAAGAGAAATTAAAAATGCATGCTGTCTATGGGTAACCCTGTTAAGAGATCTAAGGTTTTTACTCACTTGAAACGTCTAAATTCTGACATAGCATTTTTACAGGAGACTCATCTTCGCATTAAGGATCATTATAGGTTATATTGCCCTTGGGTAGGTCAGGTCTTTCACTCAAATTTTAATTCGAAAGCTAGAGGAGTGGCCATTCTCATTAATAAGAAAGTTCAATTCTCTTCGACCGATGTTATTGCTGATGGGAATGGTAGATACATCATTGTTGCTGGTACCCTAATGCAGAAAAAGGTTTTGTTGGTAAATGTATATGCCCCGAATTTTGATGATGCTGAATTTGCTAATAGATTGCTGAGTAACATCCCCTTTCTGAATACACATTTGCTGATCCTTGGTGGTGATCTGAATTGTGTTTTTGATCCAATTTTGGATCGATCTAGTCCTCGTAATTTGACTCCATCATCTATGTCTAAAACATTCTCAGATTTTATGAAACAGAATGATCTTGTTGATCCATGGAGATTTCGCAACCCTTCAATCAAAAAATTTTCGTTTTTCTCTCAGGTCCACCAGTCTTATTCCAGGATTGATTATTTTTTCATTGACAGAACTCTTAATTCATGTATTAATTCTTCCGACTATTCTGGTATTGTAATATCTGATCATTCTCCTCTGCTATTGGATGTTCAGCTTTCTAACCAAAAACGTAGTCCTCCACTTTGGAGATTTAACTCTCTCCTTCTGGCGGATAAAGAATTTTGTGAATTTATTTCAGGCTCTATTGAGGAGTTCTTGTCCTTCAATCAGGATGATTCTGTTTCATATTCTCTGCTATGGGAGACTCTTAAATGCTACCTGAGAGGTCAAATTATTTCTTACTCTGTCCGTGCTAATAAAAAGATTAATGCCAGGCTTAAAGAACTTATAGCTGCAATTAGTAACCTTGATCAATGTTATACACTGAACCCTTCTCCAGAATTACTGAAGCAGCGCCTTGATTTGCAAGCAGAATTTGATCTTATGTCAACCAAAGAGGCTGAGCACTTATTACTACGCAGTCGTGGCTCATATTACGAATATGGTGACAAGGCTAGTCGCTTGTTGGCACATCAGTTACGACGTCAGGCCTCCTCGCGTGTGATCCCCATTATTAAACACTCTGATGACAATATTACTACAGATCCCTTGGAAATTAATTCTACCTTTAAAACATTTTACTCTTTGTTGTACAGGTCCGAATTTCCCACGGATAAAGCTAAAATGAATGCATTTCTTCATAATCTTTCAAACCCTGTTATTGGTGCTAATGATGCGGGGCAATTGGACTCCCCATTATCTGTTGAAGAAGTATTAAAAGCTATTACAGTTATGCAGTCTAATAAAGCCCCGGGCCCGGATGGGTTTCCAATTGAATTTTATAAAACATTTATTGGTAAATTGGCACCATTGCTTTTGTCTGTGTTTAACGAATCCTTGGAAACGGGTTCATTACCGCCTACTTTCACACAAGCAACCATAGCGCTCCTTCTCAAAAATGACAAGGACCCAACCTCCTGTGGTTCCTACAGGCCATTATCTCTGCTTAATGCCGATGCAAAGGTATTGGCTAAAGTAATTGCATCTCGCCTTGAGGATGTGCTTCCTCGAAGTATATCTGAAGAGCAGAATGGCTTTATAAAGGGACGGCAATTGTTTTTTAATACCCGTACACTCTTTAATGTTATTTACTCAAAGCGTCTATCTGAACTTCCTGAACTTGTGATTTCTTTAGATGCTGAAAAGGCTTTCGATAGGGTGGAGTTGTTACGGCCGGGACCGTTTCAGACGAGTGACAGGACTCAAACGCAAGACGCCGAACAGCTCGAAAATATATTTTAAGAATAATGTTTAATGTGCACACAAAATATTCATAAACAAAAGGTGAGCGTAGACGTTAACTAAATAATGATCTGGTCCGGGTCCGGGGATTGGACTGGAAAGCAAGTCACAAAAGGTCCAGGAAAAGGTCGGGGTCACTGTAACAGAATGCAAATGTTCAAAACATAGATAAGGAGGCATATGAATATGTTGTTTGGCTCAAAATCCTCCTTCGTACTGTGTACTTGCCAACGGAGGTCGGAGATGACATAGAGGGGGAGTAATCCGGGTGTGTAAATCCAAAAACTCCTGGCGTGGAGGCAGAGAGGCAGGTAGGTAGTTTTGGTGGTAGCCTGAGGGACTGCCAGAAGGTCCAGCATCCAAGTAGAAGCTCTTCGCCAGGGGTTTAACAGTTAGGTGTAGCTGAAAAAGGGAGGCGCACAAAAAACAAACATACAGTGAAGCAAAGGTGATTCACAAAAAAACACGTAAGGAAATTATGGTGGTGGCCTGCACTGACTGATGTTTAGCAGAGAATCTGGCGAAGAGAGATTGAGAACGCTGGCCTTATGAGTCCCCCGGCTAATTACCCACAGATGTCAACGATCAGCAAAAACACTGAGGCCCCTCCCAGGGGTGGAGACGCCGGCTCGGAGGGAGACACACTGGCACACACCCGGACCATGACAGGAGTGGGAGTACTTGTTTGCAGTTTTAGAGAAATTTGGTTTTGGTGATAAATTTATTTCCTGGATTCGGCTTCTTTATTCATCCCCTAAAGCCAGTGCTCATACTAATGATGTTTACTCTGATTATTTTGCGCTGGGTCGTGGTTGTCGTCAAGGTTGCCCTTTGTCTGCCTTACTCTTTGCCATTGCCATCGAGCCTCTGTCTATTACATTGCGATCTTCTTCTGTATTCAGGGGAATCATCCGTAATGGAATTACACATAAAGTATCATTGTATGCGGATGACTTGTTATTATATATGACTGACCCTGCATGCTCCATCCCTGCTGTTTTAAGTATTCTGGAGAACTTCAGTTCGTTTTCAGGTTATAAATTAAATTTGGGGAAAAGTGAGTGTTTTCCTGTTAATACGGCAGCACGACAACTTCAACAGTCCGATCTACCCTTTCGTCTCAGTCCATCTGGGTTTAAGTACTTAGGGATTAACGTGATTCGCTCTCTAGCTGGCCTTAAATCAGAAAATTTGTCTCCTCTTATATCAAGGATCGCATCTGATATTCAAAGATGGGGTAATCTCCCCCTTTCTTTAATCGGTAAGATTAATGTTGTTAAAATGAACATCTTACCAAAATTTTTATTTTTATTTCAGTCAATTCCCTTATTTTTGCCGAAAATTTTTTTTGTTTCACTGGACAAGATTATTGGTTCTTTCATTTGGGGAGGGAAGCCACCTAGGGTCTCTAAAACTTTGCTGCAGCGATGCAGATTTAGTGGAGGACTTGCATTACCTAATTTTTTAGTCTACTACTGGGGCGCTCACATCCATAAACTTTGCTACTGGCTAAAATCTTCTGGTTCCTCGTGGTGTAAATTGGAGCTGTCATCATGTAAGGGCTCTTCTTTACCGGCTTTGCTCTATTCCTCTTTACCCGTAAGACCCTCTCTGTACACTGATAATCAGGTGGTTCTTAACACAGTCAAAATCTGGTTTCAGTTTAGACGTCACTTTAATTTTGTAATGCCGTCTTCCTCGGGTCCTCTAAGCGACAACCATTTGTTTCCCCCTTCACTTTTGGACTCGACATTTTCAGTGTGGTGTGACAAGGGTATAAAACAGTTCAAACATTTATATGTGGATGGTGTTTTCGATAGTTTTCCCAACTTGTCTTCTCGTTATAATCTCCCTATGACCCATTTGTTTCGCTATTTTCAAATTCGAAATTTTGTTGCCAAGTGTTTTCCAAATTTCCCCTCTTTGCCTCCAGAACAGCAGTGGGAAACTACGTTATCATTTATTCCTCATCACAGAGGAACCATTTTGAAACTCTATGATGCTATCCTGTCTTTTAGTAACCACTCTAATGTTAAGCTTAAGTGTACATGGGAAGGAGAACTGGGAATTCGAATACATGAGGAGTCTTGGGAACAGGCTATAGCGAGGGTACGATCTTCCACCTCCTGTGCTCGTCTTGGACTTATTCAATTTAAGGTCATACACAGGGTGCATTTCTCTAAGTCTAGACTTTCTGAATTGTATCCAGAAGTGGAAAATAAATGTGATAAATGCCACGGTTCTCCTTGTCACCTTAGCCACATGTTTTTTCTGTGTCCTGAGCTGGAAGGTTTCTGGACAGGGTATTTTGCTATTATGTCAACTGTTCTTGGGGTAACTCTTCATCCTTGTCCTCTGATTGCTGTATTTGGGATTCCTGTTCGTTGTGTTTTTTTTTTCATATATATATATTTATGTATATTTACTTAGGAAAATGAAGAAAGGTTGATTGTATTTTGGTAACTGCAAGTGCTGTTGTTTTCTTTTTTCAATAAAAATATTTTCCAAAAAAAAATGCATGCTGTGGAAGAGTTCGGGTCTTAGGAGGTTAAGGCACATTAACATTCAACACAAGCACAAGCAGAGAAAATCCCAACAATCATATGAACCGCTGTAAACAAGCACTTTGGCAACAGTGGGAAGGAAAAACTCCCTCGTAACAAGAAGAAACCTCCTGCACAACCAGGCTCAGGGAGGGGCGGCTAACTGCCTCAACTGGCTGGGAGTGAGGGGAGGAAGATGGGACAAAGGACACCCTGTTGAAAAGAGCAGATTAATAATAATTAATGGTTAAATGCAGAGTGGTGTATAAACACATGAGTGGAGAAGAAACAGCAGCTTATTGCAGGACCCAGGACTCACCTGATCCAGCCCTAACTATATACTTTGCCAAAGAGGAACATTTTAGGCTGGATCTAATGACAGTTTTTACAGTTAACACCACCACATGAGATGTAATTAAAGCCCAGACTTTCATTTTAATTCAGTGGGTTTAACAAAAGTAAACCATTTAACAGTTACAGCCATTTATGTCACTGTGCCTGATGAAACACACGTTGAGCAGTCGCTCACTGATATTGCTATCACATGTAATGAAACCTTCTTCAAAGTCATTTAGGTCTGTTTCTCTCTTTATTTTGTTTCAAAATTTCAACTTTTCAGAATATCAGCCGTGTAATTGATGCTGCAGAGCTTGTCTGAGTAGCATCTTCACTGTGGTTTTCATTTCATTCCTTTTTATAATAATAATAATAATAATTCTGTTAATTTGTAACCAGTTGGCATTTATTTCAGTACCTGAAAAAACTAAGGAGGCTGAGAACATCATCTACTGAAATAAGATTGTATTATTTATGAGCACATGACTTTCAGTCCTTACAGTTACTTATTTTCAATTTACATTTTTTAAGAGCATTATGAATTTGTTCCCTGACCAGATCTTCCCTGAAGCCAACATGAATGAAGAGTCAGATTATCCCGAAGACTTTGTTTATAGGAGGGAGCGTCTTCCCTCTATTGTTGTGGAGCCCACAGACCACAGTGAACAGGAGAGTGGGGAGCTGCGCTGGCCTTTGGGATGTCCAGTGGGTAGCAATGTGGAGGAAGAACTTGATGACAACAGAAGTGCTGATCACATGACAGAGAGCTCTGTGGATGGACAGCAGCAGGAGGACAAGGAAGAAAGGTAAAGAGCAGATAATTATAATTTCCAGCACTGAGTCTGGGTCCTGGGAACAGCCATGGAAGCAGAGGAATCTGCTCCCTGAGAAATCAAGGCACTTCATACAACTTGCCTCTTTAACCCAAGCACTTTTTTCACAAGTGCTTACTATCTAGCATTTATCCTCTATTGCAGTGGTTCCCAAACGGTTTTTGCTAGGCCCCTCTTTGTTTTACAAGAAAATCCCACTGCAGTTTATTTCACACCTTTTGTAAACAATGAAACTAATAAATGTAAACTGCAACAAATTACAGGTTGGAGTAAAATAAACTACTACCTCTTTTAAATAACAGAAAAACAAACCATCTTTATGGTGTCATTATTTTGCATGTGGTTGTTTTTTTTTTTACCGTGTACTAACATTCAACACTGCTATCAATTGATGCAATAGATATTTTTCAAAAAATGCCTCTCTGTGCAAAACAACTGTTGGAATCTGTTGGTCCATGATGTGGACAGCCCAGCGTGTGCTCCCGACGCAGGGGAAACAAATTCTGCCAGGGATACCTACCGTGGCACCAACGTTGTGCAGGTGAAGCCAAAAGCAAGATATCCTTCATCATATTTTCCAGTCTTTGGCTTGGAAAGAAGTTGGTTTGGAAGTGTATTTGGCGATGCTTCATCTTCCGCTTTGCCCCGTCTCTTATGGAAGCAATGCCCAAGCATTCTTTTTTTTGTTCATACCACGCCGCCCTTGCAATGGCTGTGCTCCCAGACTTTGGGAACCACTGCTCTAATGGATGCACTGTAGAGCAGCTTGGGGTTAGTATCTTGTCCAAGGATATTTGACATGCAGATTGGGGCAGCCAGGAATCAAACCACCAGCATTCTAACTAGTAGATGACTGCCTCTAACTCCTGACGTAAAGCCACCCCAAACAACAACCACTCTCTGAAAAAGGGAGGTGCTCTCACTTGGTGTTGGCTCTCTCTGTGCTGCAGCATTTTGGATACAACTACAGGCTTTTCACAGTTTTTACGACAACCTGATAATAATGTATGTTGTTGTTGTTCTTTCCTTTTTAATCACTGAGATAGAATTTAAGAGATAATGCGCAAATGGAAGAAAGCAAATATTTGTTTAATATGCATATTTAGGGACATTTATTAGTCAAGAACAACTTTCCTCACAGTCTGGTTAGACACCCTGTTTATAAGATTTTTAAGGTGAACTACAATCATTTTAGTTTTATCTCACTTTAGAAGCAGAAAGTTAGCGGCCATACAGGTCTTTATGTCTTTAAGACATTCCTGCAGTTTAACTCATTGGTGTGTGTTATCTGGCTTCATGGACAGATAGAGCTGGGTGTCATCTGCATAGCAGTGTAAATGTATGCTATGTCTTCTAATGATACTGCCTAAGGGAAGCATGTATAATGTAAACAGAATTGGTCCTAGCACTGAACCCTGTGGAACTCCATAATTAACCTCAGTGTGTGAAGAGGACTCTCCATTTACATGCACAAACTGGAGTCTATTAGATAGATATGATACAAACCACTGCAGTGCAGTACCTGTAATACCTACAGCATGTTCTAATCGCTCTAATAGGATATTATGGTCGACAGTATCGAACGCTGCACTGAGGTCTAGCAGGACAAGCACAGAGATGAGTCCACTGTCAGAGGCCATAAGAAGATCATTTGTAACCTTCACTAAAGCTGTTTCTGTGCTGTGATGAGCTCTGAAACCTGACTGAAACTCTTCAAATAAACCTCTGCAGATGATCTGTTAGCTGTTTGACAACTACTCTTTCAAGGATTTTTGATATGAAAGGAAGGTTGGAGATTGGCCTATAATTAGCTAAGACTGCTGGGTCTAGAGATGCTTTTTGAGTAAAGGTTTAACTACAGCCAGCTTGAAGGCCTGTGGTACATAGCCGATTATTAGAGATAGGTTGATCAGATTTAATATTGAAGCATTAACTAATGGCAGGACTTCTTTGAGCAGTTTTGTAGGAATGGGGTCTAAAAGACACGTTGATGGTTTGGAGGAAGTAATTATTGAAGTTAACTCAGAAAGATCAATTGGAGAAAAAGAGTCTAAATAAATGTAACTAGTGTTAGCTGTAAATAGCTATAGGTCTGTGGGATGGTTATGAATATTTTTCTCTGATGGTTAAAATTGTATTTGTGAAGAAATTAATGAAATCATTACTAATTAAGGTTAAATGAATAAATGATGAATTGTAAAATTTCCTAGGTTTACGGAGAGCTGCTTTAAAAAACAAAACAAAAAAACAAAACAAAAAAAAAACCAAC